TATTGTGTCGACTTTACTCTCTCACTTACCCCTGTATATGGGTGGTTGGAGGATGTCACTGGTGGGGCATACAGCTTTTCCTTTACTTCTGTTGTTTCTATATGCTGGTTTTGCTTTTCTCCAGCACTTAATTGTTATTGTGTCGATGTGCTTCTCTCAACTCCAACAAAACCATTACAACGTAATTGGTGTGGTTTGCTCCTTCTTTCCTATCCTATCAAACATATATCGTGGGTGGTTGGCGGGTGCTTGGGTGTGGTTTGTTTCTTCTTTCCAATCAAACATCTATCGCCCTTATCTCCTCTACTTCTTTTTTGTGTTTGTTACTCACTTGTAACAGCTCTAATCTTTGGCACTTATATGCCCTTATTGTGTTGCAAGTGCCTAGCTCTTACTAAAACTAAACATTACAACGTAGCTCTCTGTCACGGTGTTGGGCTGACTAACGTACTACATGTGTTTCGGCTTCGTTTGTTTGAGTGTTGGTGGTTGGCGGGTGCTCTGGTGTGGTTTGCTCCTTTTTTCCTATCAAACAACTATACTTTACTTTACTTTTCCGATCCAGCGGCCATTTGGGTTCTAGCCCTTCGGTCTGTCGATATGGCAAAGAATTGACAGGTTTTAATCAGCTGTGCTTTGCCGCTGATAGAGTGTTTCCGATGTCTGGGGAGGCAGGTAGGTAGGTGCTATGCAGGTCACAAAGTGCTGGGCAGTTAAAGAGGTGGTGTGGTACTGTTTCATCCTGGCAGTCGCACAGCGGGTAGTCGGGAGGGGTATCCTTGCGGATCCTATTAAAGTAGGAATTTAGTGGTATGTGTTGTGTTCGCAGGCGAAATATCGTGACTTGTTCTCTTCTACTCAGGGAATTTATTGCATCTTTAGAGTTGGGGGCTGTCATGTGTGCAAATACAGTTCTTCCAGTTTTGCCCATTGCCCATCCATTCAGCCACTGTTCCCTGGTGTTGCATTTGATGATGTTCTTGGCTGTCTGTTGTGATACTGGGTTGTGTGGTTGTGTTTGTGATGCTCCCTTCTTGGCAAGGGTGTCTGCTCTGTCGTTTCCTGGGATGTTGCTGTGGCCAGGTATCCACTATAGTGTCAGGTCGACGGCATAGGTCTGTATGAACGTATTGATTGTTTGAGCCACGGATAGGCAGGCTGGGCTTTCGAAATTCATGTTTTCCAAAGCTTGAAGTACTGACTTTCCGTCTGTGAAGATAATAGTGTTCTTGATTTTGTTTGGATGTTTTATGAAAATGTTGTCAGGTGAAGGATTGCTGCTTCAATGGCGATTGCCTCAACCTCGTAATTTGTACAAGAAGTACCACATGCATCAAATAGCTCTTCACATGTTTTGTCAGGATGTTCAATTCTTACCCCAAAGCCTGCGTTTATAGTTCCCTTGAAGGCTGACCCGTCTGTATAAATATGAATTGAATCACCAGGGTAGGAGTCAATTGTCTTCAGATCAAAACAACTATAAATAAATAATTTTTACCTCTCCTCCTTCTTTATGTTTGTTACTCTCTTGTAACACCTCTAATCTTCGGCACTTATATGACCTTATTGTGTTGCTACTGCCGTAAAACTCTCATTAAAACTATAATTTAAAAAAACAACCTTGTTTGAGTAAAGAAAAGCAACATCGACACAGTAACGGTCATTTTGTGCTGGAAAAAAATCAGACAAGTAGATAGAAACAGCAATGTGAAAAAAGAAGTAGGACCGTCGACCTACAAGTCAGTGGTGCCCTCTAACCACCTAGATATTACTTTCGTCTTTGAAACGGCCTTTGTTGTGTCCAGTGATGGTCACAGCTTCCGTGTAATCAACAAGAATAAAGACGAACTGGTCTAGCCAAAGGTCAGTAGAGGAAGACATATAGGTGAAGAAATGGAAATGGACCGACAAGCATCATCAGACATGCTTTGACGTGGGACCCACAAGGAAAATGTAAGAAAGGAAGACCAAAGATGACCTGGAGGCGAGCAGTACAAGCGGAAATGGAAAAGGCGGGGACATCATGGAAACAGCTAGAAAAGGATGCACAGAACAGGCTTCGCTGGAGAAATGTTGTTGATGGCATATGTTCCACTGGGAGTTAAAAAGGACAAGTGAGAGACAGACAGACAGACAGACAGAGAGAGAGAGAGAGAGAGAGAGAGAGAGAGAGAGAGAGAGAGAGAGAGAGAGAGAGAGAGAGAGAGAGAGAGAGAAAGAGACAGAGAGAGAAAGAGACAGAGAGACAGAGACAGAGAGACAGAAAGAGAGAGAGAGAGAGAGAGAGAGAGAGAGAGAGAGAGAGAGAGAGAGAGAGAGAGAGAGAGAGAGAGAGAGAGAGAGTTGGGGTGACAGGTTATTGTGGTGTGGATGTTTACATGTTCAAGGTTCTAGAGTATTTCAAAGGTCTGCCAGTCACCTTGGCATAGTTAGTACATGCGTTATAATAATTTGAATCGGTCTGTGGATGTTTGGAGGGTGCCGTTGGAAACTTCTACTTAAAAACAAAACGTTTAAATGCTATTCCTCTTTTCATATTGTTCTTAATGTAGGTGTACGGTACATGTATAATGTCTGTCCATCTTGATTTTTTCCGGCACTGTGGCCACGATGTTAAAAGTTCTCTTTGTGACGTGCAAAACGTCGAGCCTCTTTTACTTTTAGCATGTGTGTGTGGGGGGGGGGGGTGTCTTTTACTTTTGAAAATGTAGATATTCCCCTTAATCATGTGCTCACTGTCGCCGTCGCACACAGAAGACCAAACTTCGATTCCTGTGAGTGGAGAATTTGTACATATCGAGAATTTCGGTCTTTTTGCTGGGATGATGTATCCGTCTCGGCAAGGGTTGGTCCTGACAGGCAGGGCCGAAGCCCAGCTCTTAAACGATCTAAATTGTGTCAATGGGGACCTAAAACAATCCTTTATTGCTACTCTCATGCCTTCATTGAACAAATCTGACACAGGCTGTCGAGAACACTGTCTCAACTGATAATAACAAGTAACAACTGTTAAGTTCAGATAACAACAAAATGACGACAAATATCAACACAAACGTCCTAATTTAGTTGCTTTTACTTGTTTTTTTAAGGTAGTTTACATCGGTATTTATCTTTGTCGAGATAACAACAAATAACAACTGATACCAACAAATAACAACTGATTACAACAAAATAACAACTGACAAATAACAAGTGATAATAATAAATAACAACAAAATAACGACAAATAGCAACACAAACGTCCTAATTTAGTTGCTTTTACTTGTTGTTTTTTTTAACAACAAATAACAACTGATAACAACAAATAACAACTGATAACAACAAATAACAACTGATAACAACAAATAACAACTGATAACAACAAAATAACGACAAATATCAACTTAAACGTGCTCACACAAGGTGATCAATCCAATACAACTTTTTAATATTTTCATTGTCACACAAAACTATGACAGGACAACAATGGTGATGACATAATTACACACAACAGAACGTACCAGTACATGTACTGAACTACATGAACATGATTTGTCAGGTCTAGGCTATGCAATCATACATTGAGTGTATATTTTTAATAAATCAATCAATTTAATTTTAATGTCTCAAAATGTCATGTCACGCACGTTGGAGAGAAAAAAGAAAGATCTATGAAGAGACAGGATTACGTTTTTTCCCCAAATAAATTGCCATTTTTCGATCTTGCTTTAGATTAAAATATTTTTAAAGGGACACAACTCCGGTCATCACTAAAGAATATTATTCTGCTTCTAGTTGCTCAGAGTTGTGCATGCAAAGTAGGGGCCTTGTTGACCAAATGAATATTGATTTTTGCTGCTAGAATCAAAGTATTTTTGTGTTATCAGTTAATATTTGTTGTAACCAATTGAAATGGAACAAAACTATCTTCAAAAAAGATCAAGAAGAATTAATATCAGTTGTTATTTGTTGTTATCTCAACAAAGATAAATACCCGTTTATGAAGACAGTGAAGATGTCTTTGCATATATATATATTTTATATATATATATAAATATATATATATATATATATATATATATATATATATATATATATATATATATATATATATATATTTTTTGGGGGGGGGGGGGGGGTATGTGTATGTGTGTATGTATGTATGTGTGTGTGTGGGGGGGGGGGGGGGGCAATGAAATGAGTATATTAATGTCACCTAAACGGAGGAAGAAGTTCTTGGATATGGAACAAAATTATCTTATAAATAGATCAAGAAGAAATAATAAAATGGGAAGCTGTAAGAGAAAGAAAAAAAGCAAAATTGAAAATGCTGCTTCCTAATAAATTATCTTTATTGTGTTAATGTGAGCGTAAAAATACCTACATTAACAACAAATAATCTCATGAATACTATTTTTTTTAAAATGTGCATCGAAATGAGATCGAAACTAAGTCATGTTGACCTACGTTTAAATTACATTGATAGAGTTGAAATACATTTTAACGTGTGGTTTGCCCTGAAGAGTTTATATAATGACTTCTTTTTTCTATTTAATTACATCACAACAAGCCTGCAATGTGGGATGAACATCGTCCACTTAAAAAAAAATTTCAGACAGGGTTTGCATAGGCTATGAAAAGTACCAGTAATAATTTATGCCCAGTCAGCTTTTCCCTATGCTTCTGAACTCTATACTCAATATACTAACAAACTCAAGGAACAGCTAACATATTATAACGTACAATCTGAATAGGAACAAATTCAGCTTTAGATGGTAAACAGGAATTTAGAAGACGACGTTGTGTCCCTGAGAAAGGCACTTTAGAAAAACCTATCCACTTGGATCGGTCCTATCGGAGACTGACACTATATTATTTGGAGACGTGGGGAAGTCTGTGCAATCACTTTCCAAAGAGGAAATTTACTCGTTAATCCGATCCGTACGCTTCGCATAGCAGTCCGTCAAAATGATTTTCTTTTTAGAAATACTGAAAGTTTCAAAGAGATCTTCGCACTAGAAGTATTCTAAAATGTGAAGAATACAACCCGGGGGGTAAAAAATCACCCCAGAGCGTACGGATAGGGTGAAATAAACATAGAATGTTGCAAGGTGCGGGAAACCTATACCATTTCGAACAGCATGAACGTTTCTCATACCCTTTATTTAAATTTATGGCAAGCTAGCTTTGACTTTGAAGACAAAAACCACGCCGTCGTTGGTGAAGGAGTATCTGGGAACGACCGTCCTGGAGACCGCCTCCCATTTGCCCTGTTGCTCCAGCTTCTTCATCAGAGGCTCCAGCCGGTCTATGTACTCAGGCACGATGCTCAGGTACTGCTGTCTCATCACAACTACCACGTAGCCGCCTACCAAGGGGGAGAAAAGAATAAGATAGACAAATGAACAGAAGTTATGTTTATTTTGTTGCATCCAATTTTTGCATTTGTTGAAACAGTCAGTAATCGATGACAGTTAAGTTGGGATTAATTTATGCAACATGCCAGTAAGATTTGTGTTTGTTTGTTTGTTTGTTTGTTTGTTTGTTTGTTTGTTTGTTTGTTTGTTTGTTTGTTTGTTTGTTTGTGTAAATAAATATATTGAAAACATTAACACAATTAAGGCCATAGAGTGAAAACAAAAAGTTTGACAGAAACAACAGAGGGGAAAAAAAGAAGTGGCGCTTTATAATCACCCGCATCATGTTCAGGTAAAAAACAGTGATATATCAGAGTTGTTTAATTAATCTTTCAGAAAAAGACAACTACAAAGTCGTCCATTTTGTCAAAAGGTATCAATGTTCTTTTTCTTTCTTTCTTTTTTTTAAAGATGTATTTTAAAATGTAATGGTAGATGCTTGCTTTATTCTGTTTTCAGTCTTCAGAAACTTCGCGAGCATATAAAAAGTAAAACACAATTATTTCCTAAATGAAGTGAGATCATTATATCATTTGCCTGAAATGTCTTTACTTCACATTTGTTTGAAACTTTAAAACCTCTCTGTGGCAGCGTGTGACTTACCTGGCTTGACAACACGTAGGAGCTCTTTCATTCCACTGCAAGGAATGTGTCCCTCTCCCATGCCTCCGGATATGACGGCTGCGTCATAGGTATCTGGACGAGAAAGACACCAATTGGTTGCTTTTAAGCACAAGGGGGCTATCCCCAAAAATGCTGTTTTGAGAAAATCGAAGGTAAAGTTTTTGCCCCTTGTTCACTTTATTAAAAAGATAAGGAGAGTTTTCTCTATAAGCGAACGAATGTAATGAAACCAAACTTCTCCTATAGGTAGGGCAACGCCCACTTTTGGTGTTGGTCAAGATTTTTGGAAACCCCTGAAATCTGGGTTAGTCCGCTTGTCCTTAAAAGCGACCAATTGAGAACATTCTGTTCTTGCAAGTTGGACAAACATTGAGACGATATGATATCCCAAAAAAATATTTAACAATACCTATCAAATACACTTTTAATATTTTGGGTTTGTTTCTTTATTGCAAACAAAACGTAATAGCGATGTGACGTCGATAATCTAGTGATTAAGATACCGGATTCGTAATCGTGATATTATGAGTTCGGGGGTTTGTTGAGGCCAAAGAGTCTACATAACAAGAGGGGCCACTTCTCTCTTTGAGCCAATTAAAAAAGCGTCCTCAAAATTCGGTGGCGCCCTCTTCACAAATGCGCACCTTTTGCAAACAGAGTTATCCTACTTGAGTTTAAAAAATCAAAGTGAAACTAGCAAGTTTTTGAATAAATTTCGGAAGAACGCTTTTTTTTAATGGTTACGCTGACAAAAAAAAACCTCTTCCGGAGGAAAGGGTGATTGTTTTCTTCGTTTAATTTGATTTTAGAATGAAAGGCGAGAGGTCATTAAAATAAATTAAAAAAACTAAAACTCTGCACTGAAAAGAACCCGAACTGCTGATGAACAGCAAGCAAGAAGGTGCTATTCCTATTCTTCTTCTGGAAAAACGAAAGAGAGCTTCAAAACAGACTGCAGCGAGCTTCAAAACAGACTGCAGCGCCATCTGAAGCAAAGAGCGAACTTCCGGCGGACACTTTTTGGTTGAGTGGCCCATCTTGTTATGTACTATCTTTGTTGAGGCTCAACTCGGTCTGACGTTGTGTCCATGGGAAATTCGGAAAGGCATTTACTCGAATTTGTCCATTTGGATCGATTCTATCGGACATCGACATTTAATTCGGAGGTTCTGCGTCTTAAAATATCGTAGAATGCTGCAAGGTGCGTTAAACGTATAAAATTCCGAACAGCATGAACGTTACTCATACGTTTGTCTTTTGGCATGATAATTGTCTGCATAATATTTTATACTCATCTATTGTGTCAAAAGTTTCAGTTGCAGGGTCTGGGGTTCATTTCCGTGACGTGTTCAGAAAAGGTATACAATGTACTTTGCCCCTTTTTCTCGTCTCACCCTGCTGCAAATGAGAAACTGAACGAAGCGTAGTTTTGCCGGCTATTCGAGCGTACAAATGACAGTTCCAGAGACAGTAACCTTACAGCAAACCCAAACATACGGATAACTTGAGAACGACAGATGTGCGTCATTGGCCAATATTTATAGTAACAGCCATCTTGTTCGACGTCATTGAGGGATTCCCACTTTGTTGTCGTTCACGTTCACGGTGGCAACACGACCGCAAAGAACTACTGTATTACAGTATTATTAAAGTTATGTTATCTCAAGTTATCCGCAAGTTTTTGGGAATTCTGTTGGGTTACAGTCTCTGGAACTGTCATTTGTATGTAAAAAACCCAACCCCACGAGCCAGAGTCACCGCCCACTGTCCCTCCCATACGACACACACCAGCACGAGCCTTGAAGTTTCCTATACCAAGCCAAGCTGACCAAACTTGCTGGAGTTAGAGCCAAACATGGACAGATGGCCAAATGATGAAAAGGAAAGATGAAGGTAGAACTACTTAGATTTCAGATGGAAAGAGGAACGCCGGCATGCGCAGGACAGAGAAATCTAAGTGAGGGAGAGGGAGGGAGAGAGAGAGAGGGAGGGA